ATCGTGGAGCACTTTGAGAAACTTTTGACGGACACAGCAGTCAGAGTTCATTAAAAAAAAAAAAAAGGAGAATAACAAGACTTGAGTGGTTGGAGGAAACCAAAGCCAGACCTGCGGCGTCGGCGGTACCTTAACATGACACATGACAGCTTCACTGGCACGAGAGTCTTGGCAGGAGTGAAGAGGAGAACGCCAGGAGCCTCAGACCGGGTGTTAGAACACGACCTCTGGCAGGGACGCCGGCCAGAGCGGCGCTGGAAGAGCTACAGAACAAGAAGCAGGAGGTCTTGTTTGAATCTCACCAGGAGATTAGTGGTAATAATTTGGAGTTGATCACAGATGTTTTCTGTCCAACTTAAATGATCCTGAGCCTCTGAAATAAATGGTTCAGTCTGCGTTCCAGCATGCTCACATTTTACTTCTACATCTATTTTATGTTGTAACTACTTTCTCACTCGTGTGCCTTTACTGCTGTATTTTTTAATTAACATAAGGGAAGCTGCGTTTACTTGTCATGAATGCGCCATACAAATGAAACCGCCTTCGTCAGGTTGTCGTGATGTCGAGCGCCGAGTGATTCAGTTTCATTTTTTTATTCATCTGTTGAACCACATTGAAGGAATGTGAAATATTTGCAGCGAGGGTGTTTTGTTCAGAGCAGCAAGTCTCATTCCAATCCACTTTAAGTCTGTGACACTGATTTAAAAAAATAATTAAAAAATAAAAAGCCTGAATGCTTTTATTGTAAGCATTCTGCACACAAAGTGGCTTTAGTCCTTCAGATGGTGTGAAGTTGTAGGAACCAGAGAGGACGTACAGGAGGCGAGCTGAACGTATTTACACATTTAATAATACAGCATTTTATTATCGCCTCTTTCAGAAAGTTGAAACTCAGCTGGACACGTTGTGACTCCGAGTCCCGGTCCTGGTCCTGGTCCGTGCCGCCTCTCGGCCTCGCTCGGCGCTCCTCCAGTGAACAATGAGTCTTGAAACCAGTTAGATTAAGCACATTGTCTATTGATTGGCTCCTAAATTGCTGTGCGATACAACACAAATAATCCCATTCCAAGTTTCAGCACTTGTTTCTAATGGTTTCCAAATCATGTCAGGCATGGAATGGATCACAATTAGTTTAGCATTTAGCGGCGGAGAGTGGCCGTGCATGCCGGAGCCTGATTCTGGGCTAAACCGGCGGCTGCCTCGCGCCGCATTTGACATTTCCATTCTGGGGACACCTCCCTTTGTTCTGCCTGCAGGGCTTTTTATCAGACACCTGTGGAGGCCGAGGAGAGACGCTGTGGGTGCATATTGGGGGAAGATGTAAGTACAGCCTTAAATTCTGGTGAAAAGTCTTTTTTTTTGTGCTTCTTGTGTAAAAAAAAAAAAGTGAGTGAAAGAACCAGCTCACATAATACATGTCACACAGAACAAGACCCTCTAAAACCCTGTTTGACATTTGACAACAATGACCCGACCTCAGTCACAACCAGCAGCTCGTTTCCCAAAAGTGTCTCGAGGCTAAAATGATATTGGACTTAGGATCAGTCTGACAGGTTGACTTTTGAGAGAAAAGGAGAACACGGTACGTACTGAACACAATGGCTGACACGCTGCAGTCAAACGCACTGGAAAGATTGAACTACATTTTCTTTCTGTTTTCGTTGATGCCTTCCACAGCATTAAACCTGAACTTACTTTGCAATGAAATCCATGAAACAGCATTTGCAGATCCGGTAGCCGAGACGGTACGTGATCAAACGTTGGCTTTAAATGGTCAGCAGTGCTTTGGGCCGATATTCAAACATCTGTGTTTCTATTCTTCTTCACTCTGTGACCGTATATAAACCCAGGACTTGAAATATGGCACTGAAGTCTCCGTATACATAGAAGTACACCAGTAGAATAAATGCTAATTCTATTTCAGGTTGTTAAAAATCAAAATTAGTTTGTTATTAAGACTAAACATGCTATAAAACCTGAGGACTGACTGACTGATGATTGTATGAAGTCACCGTCACACTCTGAAGAATTTCTACGTCTTAAAGTGCCATGTTTTCTACATGTACAGTCGTCCTCAGATGTATTCACATCCTCCCATTAAAAAAGGAAAAAAAAACCCAGCGTCAGTCACTGAAATAAGCTGAAACTTACAAAAGAATGAATGAATGAAAAATACTTTATTTATCCCAGAAGGGAAATTCAATCTTGTAAAAGCTCACTTTTTTTAAAAAAATCAATATAACATATATTTCTTCTTTTATAACATATATTATATAAATATAAAAAATATATATAAAAGTAATAATAAATAAAAATTTCATGAACATCATGACATTGCTTTTGAATTGTGGTTCAACAGAAATATTTTAAAAACTAGTTTAAAAAACCAGCACGATGGGACCCATGAACTAATATTTAGTAGAACAACCCTTTGAGCCAATCACTGCCATCAGACTTCTGCACCTGTTGACAGGTGTTCTGACCCACTGCTCATCAGCAAAGGGCTCTGATTTGTCTGTTTTTTGTTTTTTTATTCTTTTCAACCACAATTCAAAGCAACATTTTATTTCACTAAATTACAATTTAGAAAATTTTTATTTATTATTACTTTTCCAGTTTCTAGTTATTTGAGTGATTATTGTGAGTTTTGCCTTTTCTTTAATGGAAGGAGATGAATACATTTGAGGACGACTGTAATCGCGTCGTTGCTCCAAAAGGCCTTTTCTTGATGACCAAACCGTAGCTTCATATCTTGTTTTATGTCATTAAGAAAAGGCCAGTTTGTGCATCACATCAGCTTTCTATTGGTTCACTTTGTGTGTGATTATTAGTTTTACTCATTAGAGGCTCAGGATGTTCCTACAGCTGCGTTTTAATCCACATCAGTTACTGAAAGATTATTTTATTGGCGTTACATCTGCATGTTCGTGATGGATTACACATGATTGATTCCTTACATTATATTGGAGAAATGATTGTAAGCTGATAGTTATTAGCTGATAGACATCAGTAACAATACAACAGCATGCAGAAGGAAAGTTTGCCTTATTATGATTATTATGGAATTATGATATATATAAAAAATGTCAATCTAATCGGGAAGTTCTACAGTTGCAGCTTAAACTGCGATACAGCCATCACTCACGTATTCCCGAGCCGACGGACGGCGCCGTCGATTGGTGATGAATCTTCACTGTCTCCATTAGAGATCCACATTTGTGCCGCTGACACCAAAACAAATGAACGCCATATTTTGGGTGATGACGGGGACGAATGATCAGTTAACATCTCTTAAGAATCTACGTTTATTTATCAACTAATGTCGGATTAAAAAGAGGATTTCTGCTGTAAGTTTCACCAGCGACTTGTGGTTCAGTGGAACAATCAGCGGCGTCCTTGGTTGGACTCGTGATAGCTCAAAGAGAAAACATTGCACCTATAGAAATATCGACTGTTGGAGAGAAAACGGTTTAATTGCTGGTGTTAAATACTGGATTCTAAACACAACCATAGAGCAGGATTTAAACTGAATTGGTATTATTTCTAGTAAATGTCAAACAATGCAGCCATGATGGTGACATTTAGGTAAAATCTGTGTTTTTAAAGCAAGACATTTTTCAGACATTTTTAATTTTAGAATATTCACATTTTGTTTATATTTATTTCATGTTGCTCTCTGAATGAAGGAACTGCATCTGTATCGGTACCAGGAGTATAAAAACGCACAGAAAAAAAGCATCGCCCGTCTCAGAAATACATAAAATCTGTAATAAAACTGTAATAATGAATCAAATGAAGTGCGGCTCTGTTCTCCTGAACAAAGACCCACATTTAAAGAACAGCTCCTTCCCTTGGCAGCGATTCAACATCAGCGCTTAAATTTGGAGATTCCACGGTTGTAGAAAAATGAGTGAAGACGCACCAGAAAGAAAAAAAAAAGCACCAACGTCGATTCTTTTTCTTCACGAGTATCTGCTCCTGCTTTTTTTTAACTTGCCACATAAAACAGTCAATTTATTAGAGGCCGGTTTGTTCAGTAAAGAACACGGTCGGTACAGGATTTCTTTTGGAGCCACAGAGGCGTCACTTAAACCAACTTTAATCAGAGACCCTGCAGTATAGTCGTCAACAAACCCTCCGGACCCGCACGGTGACTCTGAGCTGAACCAGCGATTGATCAGCGATGAGTTACATCTCAAACTATAAAAACCCGTTACGGAGAAACTCTAACATCACTTTTTAAACTCGTGTGATATTTGTGCAGAACGCCGAAGCAGAATCATAAGCTTTCATTAGACCAGTGTTTTCTGTCAACAGATGACAGTGCATCCGAGTTTTAAGCCAAAATAATGAGCCAATTTGGAAGTTCATTAAAACCCTCCTGTACGCCGCCGCAGCCTCCTGCCTGACTGCAGCTAGTCCAAGTCAATATATTGGTCTGCTGCTCATTTGAATGCAGCATTTTTGATCCCCTTCCACCCAATATTCATGATTGAATTTATCAGAATATTATATGTCTGCAGCACGGTGTCGACTTTACTCGGCACTTTGGAAAACCAGCCTGGTTGAAGACGAGCCAGAAAGCCAGCAAAAACCCGTACCTCTGGTCGGACTTTCAGAACAGCTTCAATCTCCATCGACAAACACAATTTATCTGTTTATTTCCTACAGTGATAATAAACCGAGGGCTTTTTGTTCAGTCAGAAAGCCTTCCCCTGGATCTGCTGTTTTTGACGTCCTGACATTATTTAAACTCCAAGATTGTCTGCATTTCAATTAATAACGACCGTCAGCTGCAGCCTGACTCAGCACTACTGAGATATGAGATATAAAATGCTGCAAAATGCACACAGCAAGCAAAAGAATAAAAATAAATAAACAGTATTTGTAACGGCCCTTTGGTTAAATGAGGTTAATGCATAACAGGGTGTTAAAGGTTTGGATTTGTCCTCGTCCTAATGAGGTGTGATCTGTAGGTGTGAAAACAAGCAGAACAGACATTAAAATAAAGTTGAATTTATTGGAAGGGTTTCCTCTGGAGACGCAGCATCTCATTCCTACAGGACAGCAGTTAGCTTCAGAATCACTGTGCATCTAAAAAATAAAACGGTTCAGATCAGCTGCAGGTAGTGAAGCTGATGTTAGACTTTTTAAATATGAAGTAAAAACTAACACAAACATGAAACCACTGCAGCAGCTCCCAGTAACAGACAGCAGTAAGACCAGGAGGCTCTGGTGGTACTGGGACACTAGGACTGAGCCTCGGAGCTCCAGTCCGGGATGGAGAAAGTCTTGGACTGTGTTTTCTGCTCTCCTATACTGTAGTCCACATGGATGCATATATGTCTGGCGCTCTCCTCCGACGGATACATGCTGACCTCCCCGGTCACCGGCGTGTCCTGCACCACCTCCACCGGAGCGTCGAGGTACAGCACCGCCTGCTTCCAGTGCGTCTCCGGCTTGAACGGGGACGTGGACAGCACCAGCGCCTGTTTGTCCGGGCAGGGGAAAGTCACCGTGAAGTACACGCAGAACGCGTTGACCGCCGCCGAGCCGAACGACTCGCAGCGGAAGCGGCCCTTCACCGCGCGCAGCTCGTCCACGGTCACCGAGCACAGGTCGAGCTCGGCGAAGCGCGCCGGGTGGGAGAGCACGTCCTCCACGGTCACCGAGTTCACCGTGATGTCCGAGTTCATGATGCACCGCCGGGCGAAGTCGGACATGCAGGACATGTCGACGCCGTACTGGTCCTTGACGGTGTACCAGAAGTGCAGGCGGTCCTCCACCACCGGGTCGCTGATGGGAGCGATGTAGAGCTCGGCTTTGCTCGGCAGGATGACGCCGCCCGGCTTCAGCCACTTGTCGCGGGCGTAGAGCACCGAGTTGAGCATGGACTCGTGCAGGAGGGCATAACCCATCCACTCGCTCACGATCACCTCCACCTTCTCCGGTAGGTCTACCGTCTCCACCGTGCCCCGGATCACCTCGACCCGGTCCTCCATGTTGTTGTGCTTCACGATCTTGGCCGCCTGCTCGGCTATCGAACAGGCTTCCACGGCGAACACTTTCTTGGCTCCAGCCTGAGCGCAGAAGATGCTCAAAACGCCGGTTCCGGCCCCGACGTCCAGCACAACTTTGCCCCGAATCAGCTCGCTGTTCCTCAGTATGGCCGTCCGGTACGTGTTGGTCCGGACGTGGTCCGCTATCATCTCCTCGTGGATGGTCACATCGGAGTAGCTGTCGAAATAAAGTCTGTCCTGCCGGCTTTTGTCCAATTTTCTCTTTTTGACAACATGAGACATCTTCCTGCTGTAGCGTGCTGCAGCCGAGCGGTGTTTTGTTACGCTACTTCCGCGTTGGGATATGTGGGACTTGTAGTTCTCCACGGCACAGGGCAATGACGGCACAAAACCAATCGGACTACAATTCCCACAAACACGCTGTGGTGTTGCATTCACTGTCTGCTAAAAAGTGGTACACATGAGTTTCTACTAGATAAAGCAGCGATTTGTGACATAGACGCCTTTTTTATTTTTTATTTTTTTACAAACTGTCTTATAAGGGTTGTCACTATTCTATTTTAGCAAACTTTACTACGACACAAAGCAAAATGTGAATAAATAAAGGCAGGAATATCACCATTTCTCAGCACACGTCCCAAAAACACCTTCAGGTGCCTTCAATCCAACTAGACTAAACCCAGATTCCAGCCTAAACACGGTGTGTGTTCCAATATCCCTACAACCATACTATAAAATATTGTGCCCCAATACATACGATGTCAAATGTAGCATGCCAGAAATACCAGGATGTCCTGCTACATATGTAAACCAGCATGTACTGCAGTTATGTCACATATATCATCATGTTTGGTGCAAGCACAGGCCAGTTTGAACCACCAAGAGACAAATGGCTCTCATTTTGCTCAGAGTTTAAGGCACATTTTTATGACAATGCAAGATGTCCCAATTCTGTGCAGACTGCATTAAACAGTATGCACTTCACGACGGCAGCTGCAGAACGTAGTTTAAGTAAAATGAAGTCATTTTTCTCAAACACTCATTTCATGTTAATTCCGAGGAAGGAGGTAGACAGCTTTATGGTGACCTTATTAGTGTATTTCCCAGCTACAAGCACAAAAGATGATTAAAAAACCAAAACAAACCAACAAAAACACCTCCCGACCCTCCTAATGAACTGACACTGTTCTCGGTGGTTTTGCCTTTTCTGCTCGTGCATCTTCCAGAGAAGCGCCTGCGTGTTCCACCATCATCTGAAGCACTGCCATACATTTGGGTCTTTGAAAACTTTTACACCGAACAAAGTCGGTATCTGCTACAACTCAAGTCAAACACTGCTGCTGCCGCCATGTTCAGAAACTGTAGCGTTGAGTTCACTGGACCAGTGACTGGAGCCAAAAAATGATGAATGTCAAGACAATGCCACCGTGATACGAAAGAAAAAACTATTGTTAGAATGAAGTGAAGCATTTCAGAAAAAGATGCATCACTAATGGTGGCAGCCCGACGGAAACATCAGTTCTGTTCCACTGGATTTTCACCATTTCAGCGAGCTGCAGTAGACGGTCCACAGACTTGTGCACAACACGCATTTGATTGGCGGTTGCATGTTTTTATTCTGAATGTTTAAGTTTGTGCAAACATTGCAAACCAATTTCCCGCTGTGATAATTAAGTCAATCAATATTAAAGCCATGTGTGCTGAGCTAATAGTGGCGTCACTCATGTCCCCTGTGCAGCGGCAGAGCCAGACAATCTTATAGGGATGACCATAAATACTCAAGTTATTTGTATTAATATTTTTTTTCCTGCAAATCGCTGTTGGTCAAATAGTCATTTTTTTGGTCACTCACGCCTCCCGTTTGCTTCCATGCAGACGTTCACGAGTATAATAAGTTTATTTATGTAACCTTCAGTTAATTAAAATGTGAAGCAGCTGCTTAGGTAAGTGCTTTGATACTTCATATTTAATTTTCTGTTATTTTTCCTTCTTCAAGTGTTTTCTGTATTAAATAGCTTCAATTAAGGATGTTTGGAATATGAGAGGAGACCAACAGGAAGCTGAGAAGTGCGTTAAAGCTGCTCATGTTCTAGTGTTTGAGGGGATACTATGCATATTAAAAATGGAGGGAAAAAAACAACAGATCTCTAATAATAAAGTTTTAACATGTTCGAAAAGTAAATAATATGTGTAAATGCATCAACTAATAGGACTTTCATTTGTAGATTTCTGCCTCTTCAGCACAACACTCATACTTTGTTCTACAATTTGTCGATTTTAGGGCTGCTGTCATGAGCTCCATTGGTCTTAAAATCTGTAAATTAAAACTGTAAATCCTCATTGTTCTGTTCAAAAAACACAGAAGCACCTCCCAAGACATCTAGAAAATGTTTGTTCTTTCTGTAAAGTCTTTGTTTTAAGATGAGATAAGATAAGATATGCCTTTATTTATCTCACAGTGGAGAAATTCACATCGTTGATAGCAGCTTTCAACAGACGTACACATATACGAGACAGGAAAAAACAAAAAATAAAAAATGTACATATAAATATAAGAAATAGTGCAAATAGGGTTAGAATTGTTGGGAGAACCTGTTTCCACCATTAGCACCTGGCAAAACTTAAAATAATTCCACGTTTATCATCATGTGTAACTTTAAGGTTGCAGCGTTTTGCGTAAACGTGTTAAAGAAGCATCATCATCAGACTCTTGGTATCTTCTCATCACATTGCCATTGCAGGGTTTTGCAATTGAGAATAAATGTATGAAAAATCAAGCAAAGCAACGAATTATCTGCAGCGTTTCACTCCATCATTAATACGGAGCCTAATCATCTGCAGCTCGTCTATAGTGTCCATCGTATAACCGCACAACACAGCGCGGTCATTACCGGCTCTGAGCTGAAGTTCTGGCAGGCAGAGCACAGCTGCTTGTGGCTCAGCTCCTCTCTCTTCTCGACAGTCCTGTGGGAGCCTCTCCACTCTGTTTCAGAGATCTTTGGCAAAAGATGCTGGACAAATGAGCAGGAGCTGTATCCCATTTCATAAAGAGGAAAAGCGAGAGAAGGAAGCGGTGGTTTGAGGGGGGAGAAGATGCCGTGTAGTTAGCTGTTTTCCAGACAGCAGCGATATTGTGAAAGTGAAATAACAGCACTGCGAACATAAGAACAAAATATACTACACAGGAATTTGTGTGTGTGTGTGTGTGTGGGTGGGTAGGTGGGTGTTTGTGCGTGCATGCACATTTAAATTCTTGTAAATCTGTGTCTAGTGCTGCCTTTCAAGCACTGATCCTCATGGGACAAATGTGCATTTAATTATTCAGTCTTTTCAAAAGTTTATGGAGAATAAAGCAAAAAAAAAATTGGAATTTTACTGAGTGATGGCAAACGTCGAGGGAAAATGTGCCATACCTTTGTGGGACTGTATATTCAGAGCTCCACGTTTCCCTTCTGGATGTGTTTTATTTACGGTAAATTAGAGAAACAACAACACCAAACATTATCTAAAGACGCAGCGTAATCCTTAAGTGCGGCGAATATCAAAGCCGGCCGCCCACATCCGACTGGTCAGATTCAAAACGGAAAGGGAAAAAGGAGGGAATGGAAACATACAACGGGATAGATTACTGGACTGTGAAATGCAGACTGAGGAACTCAGATTGTGATTCCGGGCGCTTGGCGAGGAGAGGGTTTGCATGCATTGTAGCCGGCAGACAGAACAGACAGACAGACAAGCAGCTGTTGGACGTGTTGTCCTCTCAAGCTTCAGGCAGAAGCGCTGCCAGGTCCACGCTCAGCCGACCTCCAGCTCAGGACGACGTGGCCGTTTACCTTCATCCTGAAACTAAGCCCATGCATACAGGGCGGGCGTTCGCGCTCGGAGCAACCAACAGGACAAAGATTTGGGTAGCAACATGCTAAAGTCACACTGCAACTGTGTCAGAGGGAAGCTGGTATCATGAGCAGTCGGATTAAAACGTCTTTCTCTTATTAAAAACATTGGACAGCTCCCATTCTAATCAAAAAGCATTATGGGGGAATGTTGATGCTTCACCTTATGAATAAATAATCTTTAAACTATTTTGTTTATCCAGTATTTGCATTATTTCTTTTCTCTGTTTGCTAGTTTTCGTGCATCCAGCAGCATTCAGTGTCCAATATTTTGTATTTACATTTTAAAATCATCTTTTTTTTTTTTTAATTAGCAGACTGGTGACAAGTCCGAACACCCTGGTTAGGAGTTAATAGACCAACATGTAGGTTCCATAGATGACCAGAATTATTACTCTTGTATATCACACACACACACACACACACAC